TGTACATAATCATTTATGATTTATCTGCCTTCTTCATAGGCCAAATAGGTGAGTTCAACAGGGATGTGATAGGTATCATCACCCCGACTCTTTCACCCCTGTGTCTTTGATGGTGACATTCATTTCTGCCATTCCCCCAGGAAAGTGGAATTACTTTTGTATGTCTATCATAATAAGGAAGGACTTCTACGTGGCTCTTCCTATCAGAGTAGCCCTCACTCCACAGGTTAGGGAGCCAATTGGGGATTTGCCAATTGCCAAATATTGTACATTCAAGAACTAGTGAAATAAACACACGGTGGACTCATAGACCTACTGGCCCCTTTGTCATTTAAACAAGACAAAACTCCATGTATCACCTGACCATCAAGAGCCCCCCCCCACTTTGATTTTTGGACCACAGTGGCATTTTGGGTCCCTAGAAATGAGTATCAGCTCAGAGTCAATGTATATCAATTCCCAAGAAGTAAGGGCAAATGGCTGTAGGTCCTTGAAGGAATAGTTGGAGGATGATTTAAAGAATATCCTTGAGGGCGCCTGGGTGGCTCAGTCGTTGAGCGTCTGCCTTCGGCTCAGGTCATGATCCCAGGGTCCTGGGATCGAGTTCCACATCGGGCTCCCTGCTCAGCGGGAAGCCTGCTTCTCCCTCTGCCACTCCTCCTGCTTGTGTTCCTGCTCTCGCTGTGTCTCTCTGTCATATAAATAAATAAAATCTTAAAAAAAAAAAAGAATATCCTTGAGACAGTGTTGCAGAGTTCTTTATCAAGGGGAGGGATCCCAGTTTCCTCTTCAGTCATGGAGCTCCAGGTTTCTGAGCAGCTTAAGTATGAAAACTTGCTAAGAAACCTTGACTCTCTGTGATGATAACACAAGTCAGGATTTTGGACCCCAGATCTGGATTTTTTTCCTGTTCTACAAATCCAGTAACACTTTTGTAGGATGTTCATGCATTTTGTTCCTAGGGACGCTATGATCAGTTTGCCATAAACACAGATTATTGTGGGTCAAAATATCCTAGTAATCCTTCATCCCTATTGCCCATTAGTGCTTTCACTTGGCCTCTACTAGTCTAAAATTTGCACATCATCCCCATTAAAACCAGGGAGCCTACCTCACTGGCAAAATCTCTTAACATCATACCTGGCCTATAGAAGACAGCCATCAGAAAGCTTTTCAAGGGCGCTGGTGCTCTCCGTGCTGGGGTATTTGTCAATGCCTTAGTGAAGGGATCAAGGGGTGGGAAATTGGTGTGCAAATCAGTCATGAAAAATTCACTCCAACATCTCTATCTCCCAATGTCTTTGAATTTCTCTACGTTGTATCACAGAAACTCTGGTATCTCAGTCTCATTGAATATAGGCCACCGGAAAGCCCAACTTTCAGTCAACCAATCATGTACACCTTCAAAGCCACTCTCAGCTGTACAAATTAACATATTAAATCCAAAATATCTGGTAAGTGCACCTCCATGGAGTTGGGACCCAGCTTTCTGAATAGAAAATGCCACTCAGCTAGTGCTGACATCAGAGGCTCTTGGGCCCAGAAGCCCTGGGGAGACTCCATAAAACCCAAAAGGATGGATTCAGAGAACATCCAGGGTTGTGAGCACATGGAGCATTGGGGAGAGTGGTGTGCTCTGAGAAAGCATGGGAACTCCCTGCCCTTTCCCCAGACCATCTGCCTGTCACTGAGTTACAACATTTTCTAATAAACTGGTGATCTAGTAGACAAAACCAAAACCCAAAAGCCTCCAGGGAGGAGCCACTGTCTGACTGCTGCTGGTAATTTTTAAAAATTAACATACATTATATTAGTTTCAAATGAACAGCATAATGATTTAATATTTATAGATATTGTGAAATAGTCATAATAATTCTACTTACCATACCATACACAGATACAGAATTTTTTTTTCTTGTGATGAGAATTTTTAAGATTTACTGTCTTGGCAACTTTCAAATATACAATATGATGTTGGTATTTCTGAAGGGGCCAGTGAGGCTGGTCTTGGTGTGTTGGGGGGAACCCCCTGGAAACTGGAACTGTTACCGCCAGGATGATGAAATCTCCTGGAGTGACAATGACAGTAAGAGCAAGCAAAATAGGACACAGTAATTTCTTTCTCCTTGCTCTTCCCTTGCAGTCTCCCTCCAGTGCCCCCAGTACCAGAGCCTAACATGGAGCCACCTGGCAAAGGAAAAATATACATAGTAGAGTCTCAGCTAAAGCAGAGTATCTAAGGATGGTTTGGAGCTTAATTATCAGCATAGTTTTCTTTTTTCATACTAAAATAATTTTATTGTTTTAAAGGTCTCTTCCCATGCTGAAATACATTAATGGTTGAAATAACATGCAATCTACTAAATTTTAAATGTAATACACGACATAACTCTAGAAGTGATCTACAAGTGGAAATAATGTGTATATATATATATAAGAATTATATTAAACACATCATTAGTTAATAAATAAGATCTAAACAAAGAAGAGAGAAATCAAAATGACTTTAGAGGAAAAAGCGGAGTCTGATGTTCTTTTGTGGTTGTGGGTGCCCAAGGCCCAGCAGCTGTGAGGCTGCCATGCCAGCATAGTTTTCGTGATTGATTATAACCTGGTTGTTGAAAAGATGAAATGATACCATGTATATTAAATGATACCATGTATATTAAATACCTAGAATCATGCCTGGTCCATCATAAATGTTCAATAATCCTTAACATTTGGGGGCATGGCTTAGTTGGTTGAGCTTAGTTGGGTGGCTTAGTTAGCTGAGCTTCTGACTTGTGACTTCAGCTCAGGTGGAGATCTCATGGGTCCTGGGATCAAGCCTCGAGTCAGGATCCATGCTCAGTGGGAAGTCTGCCTGGGACTCTCTCCTTTTGCCCCTCCCCTACTGGTGTGCACTCTCTCTCTTTCTCTCTCTCAAATAAATAAATCTAAAAAAAAAAAAAATCCTTAACACTTTTTTTCTGGTATCAGTTGAGGTAAGTACATAGGGCTTTTTCTCTCTCCTTCATTCTGTTGATGTGATTACATTGTGATTACATTGATTGATTTTTGAGTGTTGAACCATCCTTGCATTCTAAGAATAAATCCCACTTGGTCATAGCATGATCCTTTTAATATCCTGTTGAATTTGGTTTGTTAGGCTTTTAAAAATTGTTATTTACCATATAGACAGAGTTTAAGCTTTTGGAGTGAGAAGCTAAATCAAGGTGACCTTGGAAATTTAGAGAATTTCCTGAAATGTCTGCTCTAAAAGTTATTCCAGTTTTGCTCTCATGGGGTATTTTCCTTAACGTGATCTCTCTGCTCTGCTCCTTGAGTGTTCCCAGTCATTCTCTTAACTGCAAGTGGATGTAGCTTAAGACAAATGAGAAACATTTACTGAGTGATTGAGAAGAAGAATTTTGAGAGCCTAGCTTTTTCTAAATGCCAGGGACTGTTTCAGCTGTTAACTCAGGGATTAAGAGCATGAAAAGAATGTCAGGCTAGCTGAGCAGAATTTTGATGATTAAAGAGAAAAGCTGGCTTCCATGGATCTTTGATCCAGCTCAGTGGGGAAAAGGGCAGACCACTCCAACTGAACCACCACTCCATCTTGGCTGCTCAGGGACACACCTGGGAAGACTCCCTAGGGGTCACCTGCTTGCTTTCCCATCTGGAAATGAAGTTGGAGACTACAGGCCTTATCTTGTAGCAGGGGGAGGCATTTTTGGTGGGGAACAAAGTCTCCTGGTCTCCTAGGAGCACTTGGGATTAACTTGGAGTAGAGTTTACAAAGATTCCTGATGAGAAAAGCCACTTGGGGCTCTTAGACTTCCTTGGAAATTTTATTTTTGCTGGTCTGAGTAAGGAACTCAGATTTTGCCTTTTAAAAAAGTGGACCTGGTGATTTTTATCATCAGGAAAGTTTGGGAATCCCTGCCTAGGGCAAGAGGGCAATTGTTTTCCTGGACCTTCTGCTCAATATTGGCAAAGGGAGCTAATATAACATTTAACCACTGAAGAGAGACATCTGTTTGGATAAGACTTGTGCAGGAAAGGAAAAAAGGGCTATACCTACTATTCTGCAGAGGAAGACATTCATGGGGCCGCTTTGCAATTCCGTAGTTATGAATGACGGATAATGTCATTAAAGACAAGCTTTCTTCTCTAAATTAGCTTGGGTTTGGTTGCAAAACACAGCAGCCTTGAAAATGTAGCTGCTGACTTCACCTTGGAGACCAGGGGCTGTGCTGCCACCATGGAGGGAGGGTCCAAAGCAGGTGTCCCCTAGACGCCAGGTCATACCTGATGCTTATTCAACCTTTGCCAATGATGTGGTGCGTTTCCTAAGCTGTCCTTCCTCACCCACAGCTGGAGCTATTCCCCACATGCTGAAAGCAAAAGGCACATGGGCTGGCCAGAAGACAGCGCCTCAGAGCTCAGTGAGAGGTGTGGGAGATTAAATGTCATCCCAGCTCAAGCTTCTGATGTGGGAAGGGCAAACACAGTCAAGAAATGGGTGTCTGCTTACTTCCTGTGAGCTGACTCAGCAGGAAAAGTGGGTGAGGTGTCTGAACATGTAAGGGGTACATCAAGGGCCCCCATTCCACCAGAGGCCCGGATGTGGCTCTGCCATCTCTCCAGTCCTGGTTTTGGTAGGATGCAAACGGCCTTGGAGCAATGCCTTTAGCATCTAGGAAAGCATCTCCTAGCACATGAGGACAGGCTCAAATACTTTTGAATGAGTGAAGGAATGTGAATGAGAGAGAGCTTGTCACTGAATTGTAAAACAGAAACCTCCAATTGTTGACAGAGAATAGAAAACTTCAAGCTTCATTTCTCAGACCTTTATTCTTCTAAACAAAGTTCAGGCCTCTGCATGTTATACTCTGTTAACCACAGGGGCCCAAAGTTCTTCCATAACTAATCTGAGCCTATTATTACTCCACTCGGCTCTTAGGAGCCCTCACATTCCCTTCCCCTCCAGGAAGCGGGGTGATCACGGGCGGACGATGGAGCAAGGCAGCAGCCACTTGGAGGACTCCCCTCTCAACGTGTTTTCCGTCACTCCTTACACACCCAGCACCGCTGACATCCAGGTGTCCGATGATGACAAGGCAGGGGCCACGTTGCTCTTCTCAGGCATCTTCCTGGGACTGGTGGGGATCACGTTCACCGTCATGGGCTGGATCAAATACCAAGGTGTCTCCCACTTTGAATGGACCCAGCTTCTTGGGCCCATCCTGCTGTCAGTCGGGGTGACATTCATCCTGATTGCTGTGTGCAAGTTCAAAATGCTCTCCTGCCAGGTGTGCAAGGAAAGTGAGGAAAGGGTCCTGGATTCGGAGCAGACGGCAGGAGGACAATCATTTGTTTTCACTGGTATCAACCAACCCATCACCTTTCATGGGGCCACTGTGGTGCAGTATATCCCTCCTTACAGTGCTCAAGAGCCCCTTGGGATGAACACCGCCTACCTGCAGCCAGTGGTGAACCCCTGTGGTCTCATACCACCTGGAGGGGTGGTGAGCGCCACGCCAAGCCCTCCTCAGTACTATACCATATATCCTCCAGAGAACGCTGCATTTGTTGGTGACCAAGACTACCCTTCCTTTGTGGCCAGTGGAAATGACAGGTATGTTGAGTGGCATGGGGACACTCCCCTTCCAGCTGTCACAGTCGCGGCCCATGGCTTTGTCTGGTGTGTAAGGAAGGTGTTGGGAGAAGGCAAGCATCCGTGTGGCCTGTTGCCAAGATGGCGGCGCTGGTTCCAAGAGAGGTGGCGTGGACTGTACCGGGTCTGTGTTTTCTGCTCCCATTTCAGATCCAGCCCTGATGCTGACCAGCTAGAAGAGACACAGCTGGGAGACGAGGACTCCGCCTGCTTCTCTCCTCCCCCCTATGAGGAAATATACTCCCTCCCTCGCCAGACTATGACGCTGAGGGAACAGCATTCAAGTCATTGTTGCTGACAAATGAGGTGTTCAGTGCTGTGACCTTCAGAGGTTAGACAGCAGAGCAGCCCAGGCAGCCTGACAGATAACATTCGAAGGGGGCCGGGTGGGGGTGGGGCGGGAGGAGAAATGGGAAAGAAAATAGCTCAGGTGGGTAAAAATTAGGCGGGGGTGGGGAAATTTCCTTCTGGTACAGCTGGACATCCCATCCCCTGCATATGGCTCATGGGTAGGAATTTCACTTGGTCCACAACCCACCCCTTTTCTACTGGAAGGCACTGGTGTCTCAGTTTTAACTCCAGCAGCCAAGGGGGAAATCACTGCTGCTGTAGCCCTGGGAGTTTCCATGGCCATGAGAAGGGGGGTGGGCAGGGAGCAGGGAAGAGAAAATAGGCTCCTCTGGAGATTTCCTAGTACCTGTTTTCCACCCCCCGGAGGGGGTTTGCAGATTCCCAAACAACGTGTTTGCCATTTGGTGTCCCTTGAGGACTCTGGGTATCTTAAAGGCTGCAAAACATTTTTTTAGTGGAATAAAATAAAATAATGTCTCCTGTTAAAAAAAGAAGTAGCTGGCTACAGAATAAACTAATAACCATACAAAATAAATATGATAGGGCAATGATGTCAATAAATCCTTAAGTTATCACTGGGTCACAGTGACTCTTGGCAAGGGGCCAAAGCTTGGTTTGCCCACCCAGGCTGGGATCTGTGTTGGACAGGAGCTACCTGGGCCCAGCGACCAACAGAACATGGGGACTTCTGTGAGCACCTGTCTATGAGTTCTAAATTAGACAAAATAGAGCCTCATGTCAATACCTGGATAATGATGAATCATGGAAATGATCTTTATGGTCAAGACAAGCTCACCTTCTTTATAAAAGAAGTTGGTGCCCTTAATCTTCCTGAATCTGAACTGTATAATAAACAACCACGACAGATCAAAGACTTAAGAAGAGACAGTTACAACTGTTGGGTTTTAAAAGAAAATATTTTCCTTATTTCCTGCCACTCGAGATAAGGGACACTCATCCCAGAGGAAGATAGGATTTAGCAATTCCTTAAAATTTTGGTACCATGTGTATATAGGAAGTGATTTTAATTAATTTTTATCAAAAACATCTAGTTTTCCAAGGATATGATTAAGATATGCTCGGTAGATTATTTTTGTGATTTGTGTTGTATCTTAGGAACAGAACGTTTTCATGGGAGAATTCATTTTGATGTGTGATGATAGAAGGGGATGGAAAAATAGGATTCCATTTACAGAAGCAATATTCATCAAACATTGGATTCCTGGCTGAGGGCCATCAGTTCTGGGGAGGAAGTGTGGTGACAGGGACATAGCCATGCGCATCACCCCAGCATACCCACTGGTAAGGACGCCCGGCATGCCTGCCTCCCTGACCCCTTCCCCTGCTTATCCTCACTCAGCCCACAGCTTCAGATTCCTGGATTTGGGTTACAATGAGCATCGAGGGAAGCTCAAACTGGAAAAGGATGTTAGGAAAGGGTGTCCACGTGTGGCAGCAGGAGGCAGGACCGCCGATTTCTCCCGAGGATGCCAGGAGTCCCACTTGCAGGGAAGTGGCCTTGGGGAGTCTTTAGCTCCAGGCAGCAGAATGATTCGGCACAAACTGTCCCTGTTCTCAGAGAGAAAAAGGGCTATCATAGAGATAACTGATGCCTCCCAAACTGCATCAGATCTTTAGGAGCTCAGGGTGGGGGGCTGGCCTGCAACAGTCGGGAGTCAAGTGGGTGGGATGGGAATGTGTTCAGTCATTCAACATTTATTATCTCCTCTGCGGCCGGACATGGGCCATCAAGTGGGGATATAACAGTGAAACACTCAACAAATGCCCTCACAGAGCTTCTAGTTGGCTGTGTGTGTGTGTGTGTGTGTGTGTGTGTGTGTGTGTGTGTGTGTGTGTGTGTGTG